ATACTTTTAGTAGCATCTACAACCCAGAACTGCCTCATCACAATCACCCTCGCCAAACAGGGAAACCTCACACTGAGAAGGGCTACGGTGTTCAGCCAGCACCAAACGTCTCTCCTTCTGTCTTCCCGTCGCTCCCATCCGTCAGAACCCTGGAAACTCCCGAATGAAGAGTCAACACAGGGCCGGGGGTCCTTCCATCTCCTAACACATGTCAGGGAGGGGGGAAGAAAACAGCCTGAGTCCCAGCCTCAACCAGCCATCCGTCCTCAGCCATCCGTCCTCTGCAGCTTGAACCTCACACTGAAAGGGGTGTGGGGGGGTGGGGGGAGCCAAGCACGGTGGGGAGGGGCCGCGCCTCGGAAGCCAGCGACAGGGCTGCTCGGCCCACCTGAGTCTCCGAGTCATTGTCTCCCCTGCCAGAGCGGCTGCATTTATGTGTCATGAGATCATTACCAGGCAGCCCTTACCATTTGAATATTTCTTGAAGAAGAAGAAAAAAATAGCATACAAAAGGGTTTGCGATGCCAGCTCCATCAGACGTGCTGTGGATGGAGAATTACTCGAGTGCAAGCCAGCACAGGAAAAATAAGCACTTTCGGAGAGGCTGCCGTCGAAGCCGAGTTCTCTCGTGACCACGGTTCCAGCGCACGTGCCCAAGCGTCCGGAGGCGAGGACGGGAACTCACCGCCGGCAGGAGCAGGAGCGAGGGCTGTGTCTGCGATGTAAAGTGAGGCGTGTTCCCGCCTGATCGCTCAGGCAGGTAGGGCAGGGCCTCCCGCCGAGTCCGGGCTCCCACCCGCTTTCAGCGCGCACAATTAGAGCCGGCAGAGCAGTGGGCCGGGCAGCTCTGAGCCGGCGGGGGTTGGACCGGAACCCCGTGGTGGGCATTATTATGTTCGTGCTTGAACTCGGGCGGTTAGGCAGGCAGGGAAGACACTGCCTCTCCCCTTCCACGACGAGCGGCTTTGCCTCAAAGAAGGGACTTTATCTCTCCCGGTCCCCGAGGCCCGTGCAGGATAAAGAACGTGGCAGGACGTCCCCTCCCTTTGTCCCCATTTGCACCAAGTGGCCAGAACTTCAGTGTCCCTGTGAACCAAGTATGCTGGCTGAGGCTCAAAAAACCCGTACTCCATCTGTTTTTAGCAAATTAGAAAATCAAATGGAAGAAATTGAGCACTAAGGCAGAACCAAAAGGAATCACTCTTTGATGATCCAGACAGCGCCTCCAAGCCTTGGGTGGCAGTTATAAAAGCTGTTCCTCACTGGCCAGCACTTTTTAGACATTCCCTCTGCTGCTCGTGAGTGCACTCTCTGGGGGTGGGAACTTCGGATACACGTGAGCTGACTGCTCGTTTCCAGGATTTCTCTGGTTTCTCCTGAGATTACAAACCCAAGAAGAACGTCCTTTCGGCTATCGCTCTCGGTCCTGAACTCCAGGAGGGAACAGCACTCAGGGCGGGATCGAAGACTCATTATCACAATGAACGTGAAACTAAAGGATTCTGGGTCTTTTTTTTTGTGGCAGTCATAAAGCACCCATTTTTTTTCTTCCCCTAGCATTTCGTAACAGGCTAAACCAAAATAACACTGGGAGGAAATATTTCTAATTGTCCTACCTGAGAGATATATCTCGTAATGGTTAGTAGTTAGTTCCGGTAAAGTTGCTGAGGCCACTTTATAGATCCTAGTCTTGGGATGTATTTAGAGACAGTCTCAGCGTTGAGAGATCAGTCCGTTAAGGGAGAGGAAGGGACGGAGCCAAGGAGGCAGGACCGTGATCCCACGTCCCCGTGAAATGCAGCGAGCTCCACCGCAATCTACATTGTGTAGGCAAAGAGTTGCATCACAATGGTCCTAAAAACTGGGATTTAAACAGGAAAATGGAGACGACTTTCTCTCCCTACCTACATCCACATGAGCTCATCCCAGCCATCACTTCCACATTAACTTCTTGAAAAGAATCGGCCCAAGTAAGGATTATTACATCTCTCTCTATGGTTCACTGTTGTGGGTAGGCGGGCTCGTGTGTGTGTGTGTGTGTGTGTGTGTGTGTGTGCACGTGTAGGGAGAGGTTTTTCTTTCCCCATCTACACGGACTCTCCGGAGGAGAGCGGGGGTCCTCCACCACACCCTCATCTCGCTCCTTCCCTTCCGCTCTTCCCTCAAAGCCTGAAGGAAGGTTTCCATCTCGAAAGCCAACTGCCTCTGCAGCAGCCTCCCCCGCCTTCCCTGGCCTTGGCCTCTGTCATCAAACACCTCCGTCATGCCTCTGCTCATGCGCCTCGTCTGTGGGAGACCCCCCCAGGCTGGGTGTCAGGGGGTGCGGGTTCCAGACCCTCCTCTGCCAGACACTGCCATGCCCCGGCAAGAAGCATCATTTCTCCTCACGCTGCATTTCACCTTGAGAGTGGCTATGACTCAGCCTTGCTATTACTCATTGTCTGCAAATATTGCTTTATTTTCATCCTTTCTTCAGCTGCTGAAATGTCCTTACCTCAGCACCCACTCTCTCCTTAAGTATATAAAATACAGCCTTTATACCTCCCACACCACTGAAATTCCTCTTTAAGATCATCCAAACCAACTTTGTTTTGCCAAATCGAATAGGCTATATGGACTCTTAACCCTTTGGACTTTTTGGATACAGCTGATGTGGCTGAGGAAACTCTTCTTACAACATTTTCGCTGAACTCCCACACTGCCTGTTCCCCTCTGCCTCAACGTTGTCGGGCCCACCTGTCCGCCGTGGGGCGCTCGGGTTTATTCGCAGCCAGGCGGCCAGCTGTACGTATGCAGTAGGGCCCGGGGGCTAGACATTGCCCTCCAGCCCCGTGGCGCCCCCCACCGCCAGCACAGTCAGCGCACCCCTGCACACACCCGGTCTGCGGCAGAAGAACCATCGCTCCAGGTGAAAACTCAGCGCCTCAGAGACTCTTGGTTAAAGAGTAGATGCCTTTCCTTCACTTACATGTGAAATCTAAAGATCACAATGACTGAACCACCCCATCAGAAACAGACTCACAGACACAGAGGACAGACTGACGGCTGCCAGATGGGAGGCGGGTCAGGGAGCCCGGTGAGAAAGGGGAAGGGACTGAGGAGCACAGATCGGTGGTCACGGCATGGTCTCGGGTGTCAAGCACAACATCGGGACTATAGTCTGCAATATTGTGACAACTACGTTTGGTGTTACGTAGGTACTAGCATTATTGGGGGATCGCTTCATAAATTATACGAATATCTAACCGCTATGCTACACACCTGAACTTATATAAAACAATATGGAATTTCAACTAATTGAAAAAAAATTTTAAGTAAATCCTATTAAAAGCTTGCACATTCATTCATCATCTACTAATACAAAATTAATAGATAATTAAACGAAAGCTCAGAAATCAGAAAGTAGCATAGTGAAGAAATGGAATATTAAACGAGTTCATTCTGAAGGAAAGTCAACTCCACTATCTAGCTAGAACAAAATAAGATCATGCCCAAGAAAATAAATATACTTTATTACCTATAGAAACACTGTTTGCCTAATCAAAACAATATAAACACTTCTGTAACTGACTGCCAGCAAGGTACGGTCCTCCTAAGTCCCCAGAACATGGATTAAAAATGACAGATTCAACGACCCCTCAGAGAGTCAAAGCTCAACCGTAAAGAGGACGCCGGGAAAGTTCACTATCAATATCTGGCTATGAAGTCCTAAACCGGTATGACGATTCACCACCAGAAACTAGAAGGACACTTTCCTTTGCTACTACATGTCGTGATGCTTAGGAACTGCCCCCTCCCCCAACCCTGACTCAAACCCGAGAAGATCAGCCATGGGTCTCTGCTGAGACCCCCAGGCCCTGACCCTTTTTTCCCTGCATGTGCTCTGTGGGGAACACCCTGTCTCTGCTGACAAAGTCTTGGAGCCTCCCCCTAATGGTTAGCTCACTACCACTTGACTACTGTTGTCAATCACCGTGCTTTATATAAAGCAACTGTCTATTTATCAGCGTTCACTCCTTAATTTCCATGATTGTCCAAGAGGCTTCTTTTCTGCAGTCTGAGCCTACCTAGACCAGTGGGCAGGAAATAAATGGTCTCGGTACATGTACCTGAAGGGGACTTAGTTCTTCTTTCCATGAAAAGAGACACCTGTCCTTTCACCTCTGCTGACAGGACATGCTCTTCCAGAAGGCACAGCACAGGGGTTACCCGCTGCTGCCCAGGAGGGGCTGGCCAACTGTGACCCATGGGCCAGGCCTGGCCTGCTGCCTGTTTTTATAAATAAAGTTTTATTGGAAACAGCCACACTCGTTCATTTACAATCATCTATGGCTGCTCTCCTGCTGCAATGGCAGAGGTGAACAGAGGTCTTTTGGCCAGCAAAGCCTAAGACACTCATTATTTGACCCTTTATAGAAAAAGTCTGACCCCGGTCCTATACCCTCTATGGCAAGAGTTTAAATAATTACTATAATGGCCAATGTTGATCAAACTCTTCAACATTCAATGAACTATTAAATACATTACATGAATTATATCACTAAACCTGCCCACTAGCTCTGTAAAGTAAGTATTCTTGGTTTCCCCATTTTACGAGCAAAGGACCCAAGGCTTACAAAGCTAATGGAGTTTGTTCCAGGACTAGGAAGAGGCTGGGTTCCAAGCCCATCAGTCTAACTCCGGTGCCCACACTCTTGACTGGTAAACAGTCTTTCCTCCAATGTAATGGGGATAACAACTACCGTCGGCCACGTGTTCGCTGCCCACCAGCCTTTGCACCAGGTTGTCTCTAACGCTCACCACTGCTGGCGTCCGTACCTTCCGAAGAGCAGGAGCAGGCGCTCAGGCTGGTCCGATATCCTCCCCAAGCACAGGGAGCTAAGAGCAGAAGATCCTGGGTTCGAACTGAGACACCGTAGGTCTTTCATGACACATGTGGCCTCACGGCAGAAAGACAGCACTTCAGGGACGCTATAATAAGCAGCAGAAATAACAGTTCTGGGTTGTACGAGAGGAGATGGCTGGCACACCCCTTGACGAGATGGGGAGAGGCCCTCAGGCCTGACAACAGCAGACGGTGAATGGGTTGCCACCTACTTTAAGGCACCGAACCGTCGTCTTTAAACCTTAAGGGCTCTCATCGTAAGGAGAAAATTGGCTCCTTATCTTTCGTTGTTTCTTTTCTTTACATTGTACTTATGTGAGGCGGCGGAAGTTAGCTGAACCTACTGGGATAATTATTTCACAACATACGAAACTATCGTGCTGCGGGCCTTCAACTTGCACAGTGAAGTATGTCGATTATTTCTCAATAAAATGGGGGGAAAATAATTTTTTTCCTCATTGTCCACTCTGTCTACAAAGACTGTGAGTCACCGCACTTGGGCACAAGTCCTCACTCGGTCGGGAACTGTCTCTGGGGCACGTGGATCTTGGTTTCTTCGTTGGCAAAAGGAAGGAGGGGTCACAGGGGTGGTCCCGGTAACTCCAAACAGCTACCGGAAAGAACCAGTCAAGTTTCCAATTCAGAACTCCTGCCCTGGGATAATCTCTCAGCAAGGACCCTAACTGCCTTCCACTCCACAGGGCAGCTGAAGCCAGTCACCCGTCTGGCCACTCCGCAGTGCGGGATGGCCCGCGACGGTCAGCGCTTCCCCTTGGAACACCCGGAGGACTAGACACTCCATCGCTTGCTCCTTCATTCGTGTCATTGTCCCCAATCTGGGGTATTTCAGCTCATGTATCCAACAGCCAGTACGACCTACTTTCTGAGGCCCTGATTGGGTCAGATGCAGTAAAATGCACATTAGACGTCATGTGATTTGGTGGAGGTGATTGTTTTCCTTCATCATGATTTTTCTTTTTAAATACTGAGGCCATCCCAGCAGGAGGAGCGAGACAGCAAGCAAAGTAGACATTGGTGTAGGGGGCTCTCCATTATTTTTGCAGATTTACTTATTTTTTGAGGGAGGGAGAGAAGCATTGACGTGAGAGAGAGAGACATCTACTGGTTGCCCCTTGTATGCGCCCTGGCCTGGGACCAGATCGCCCACCCAGGCGTGTGCCCTGACCAGGAATCAAACCTTTCGCCTTAAGAGATGACGCTCAACCAACTGAGCGACGCTGGCCAGGGCCATCAAGATATTTACACTCACTAGCATCCACCTGGTAAATCAAAACAGGGAGGCCTATAGCTGGTCATGTAAGGGAGGCCTTTCCCAATGGGCTGCTCCACCCGTATCTTATTTCTAATCCTAGTATCTCTCTCCATAAACAACCGGATTTTAAGGACCAGTGAGTCACTGTATAGATGCCTCCATCGGTGAAAAATGGCTTCCCAAGCAAAGGCCGAGCTCTAAACCCGCCCCTTAGAGTTGCAAACGGCGCCTCTTCTGAGTCTGGCTCCCTCCGCTGTGACTGATGGGCAAACTGATGTAAGGAACTACTTCCACGCAGTTCACTTCTTTAAGTAACCCGGTTTTTAAAAGAGGGAGAGAAAAAAAAAGGCCATCCTGTCAGTGATCCCTTTAAGCCTTTTTAATTACCGAATTCTTTTTCATGGTGTCCCCGACCTAGCCTTACCAAGAGTTCACCGCAGAAATGTGCCGAGGCGCGTCCCCACGCTGCCGACGGAGGCTGAGCAACAGCTTCGGTATCACGGCTCCACATTTTTCTGCTGTCTGGGAGGTTCAGGGATCCACCCGCTGTGAGTCACGCCGGCCCTTTGCTTAGGCACGAATAAGACATTGCAGACACCGGGCGCAGACACTGGGCACAGACGCCGGCCCTTCCGGGAACGATGAGACCTGGACTCCCCATTAGGGCAAGTGCGCGCACGAGGTCTTCCCCTAGCGCCGACTGATTTCCAAATGGGACTAAAGATGCAGCTCAGCAAGCTCTCCGATTCTCCTGTTGGACCCCAAGACAAAAATGTCACAAGCAACGCATCCTAAAATTAACAGCACGTTTTGCTTTCTGTGTGATGGGATCAGCTGAGAATGAGATCGCTCTGTACCTCCTCCAGATAAGACGTCGTCATTGTTTGGGTCCACCTACCAGCACCACACACGCGAGGCCTCAGAACATATCTGATCACTTCGGTGCTCAGCATCTGGGCCAAAAATAAACCTGCGATGTCCTTCAGCCTCATCCCCCACCTAAAGCACCGTGTTCCTGTGTCACTCTGGAAAATTTCCTGGTCGGGCTTCCCTCATTCATTTTCTAGATAAGCATTTCCAAGACGCTGTTCTAGGCCCTGGGCACGCCCTGGGCACAACAGATGAAGCCCATATTGGAATCGACCTTACATTCTAGAAAAGGAGACAGGCAATAACCAAATAAACAAGAAGACATGCAGGGTCAGGGTCAGGGTCAGGTCAGGGCTAGTTCAGAAGCAAACCAGGGTAACACCATCCAGAAGGTCTAGGCTACCTGAGTGTGAATAGCCAGGAGAGCTTCTCTGAGAGGCTGACATTGAAGCTGAAAACAGACTAAAAATGACGACGCCCTGTGAGGACCATGGCTGGGGGAAGAACATCCCAGACACAGGGAACACCTACTTCAAAGGCCCTCAGATGAAAGCGGACTTGAAGTTGTCCCGACGAGGCAAGAGCACAGCGGAGGGAGGAGGAGAGACCTGCGCTAGGTGACAGAGCCGGGCAGAGGCCAGCTCTCCAAAGCTGCCAGGGACACGATGAGAGAGCTTCCTCTCGGCCAAAGAATATGGGCAGCTATTAGAAGTTGTTAATAAAGGGAGCTCCGTGACCTACTTCTGTTTTGAAAAGAGTACTCTCGCTGGTGTGCAGAGCACTGTTTCCAGGAGGCGAAACTGGAAGCAGAAAGGCCACTGCGGAGGTGACTGCAGGGGCCCAGGGCACGGAGGATGGAGGCTTTGCCGGGGGGTTCGCTGGTAAGAACGGAGGGAGGCGGGAAGGTAGGAGAAGCGTTCCGGAGCTGTCATGGCAGAGCTTGCGTCTCCTCCTTCTGTCCCTGCAACTGGGAGGCACAGGAATCGGAGAGCGGGCTGGGGATCCTGGGCTTTGTCCCCGTGAAGGGACAATCGGCATCAGGCACATTAGCCGGAGCAGCAGCACCAGGACGGCTCGGCGGTGTATGAAAAGAGAAACCAGTCATCTGAATTGAATTCTCAGCTGGAGCCGAAGAGGCCAAATTTAATCATCCACCGAAAATTATCACGCCAGTCAATACTTCCCCCCTTCTTACAAAGGGAAAAAGATGGATTCTTTATTTTTCCGTCAAGCAGGTGGCCTTGAGGCAGCTAACCAGCTGGCTGAAATCTAAATACCTTTGCCAAGACAAAAGCCAGTAACATGATTGATTATCTTCTCATTGTAGGAGAAGAAAACCTCCCCCAGCCAATCCGCAGGCAGAGCTGCTATCGGATTATCACTGAACAAAACTAGACTTGGAGCTGAAGAACAAAGGTCCCCGAATCCCAGGCCCCAGTTGGCTGGGCCTCCATCTACCAGTTCAGCTCCAGCCACTGCACTGATTTCTAAACCGGTTCAGCTAAGTTTCCTAGTTGTGAAGTCCTGGCTTGCTTTCTCAGACTCAAAATAGGCACCTGCACCGGAGTTGGTACAGATCTGCCCCCAGAGAAAAGGCTCTTCCTCCAAACATCTTGGCCGAACAGACTTCCGAGAGGCTCGCTGATTCCTCCCAAACTCCTTTCTGTCTCATCTGAGTGTGAAAAGCGCCTTATGTGCATCCCACTGAGCTGGGTGCGCACAGGTAAGGCCCCACCTGATGACGGTTTGTGTCCCGCAGCCCACGCACCTCCAGAGCAGGAAGCAGAATGGTCCGTCCAGGGCCATTCTGAACTCTCCTAGGGCCACCAGGCGAGGGGAGGGCCAGGCCTAACCGCCCCCAGGAGCTGGCACTCCGAACTCTTGGCAGGCCTCTGCCCCTGGGCTGAAATCCTCGTGGGTGTCTACAGTATCTTCTGGTCTCGAATCCAGGAGGAATATAAAAATGGAGATTAACAGAGACTCTGTCTTCGAAAGCAGTTGAACAAAGCTTTCAAATGCCACTTGCTCCTTGAGACTTACCAAGCCCGCCGGTACATCAACTCTGTCATCATGGAGACGGAGAGGACACGTCATGACGTGAATCGCTAGACAGAGAGACGGAGAGCAGGGGAGGTCGCCTTCTCCCACGTGGAAATCCCACATGGAAACCCCATGTGGAAATCCCATCAGGGTCAGCAGAGCACCCCCTGAAGCGCTGACGTAGAACAGGGTCCCTAATTCCGAAGAAAACTGAAGGATGTCATCTCCTCCTCCGGAATCTCCTTTTTGCTTCTCTGTGGTCTCCGGGGTCATGATCTGCAATGTTTGCTACCAGCCCTGGGATTTAGTGCCTGAGCTCAAGAAAACGGCCCTTGAAGAGAGGAGCTGTCACAGAAGCAAAAGCAGCCGAGCGACCGTGGCCCGAAAATCTCCTTCCTCGACCCAGGGGTGATCGACGAGGGCTGCTGGCCCTGGCGCAGGAACCCTTCCCTCCCAGCTCAAACTGAACATCCGACTCGCCAGAAAGCTTCCCTTATTGACAGACAGAGGCAGAATACTGCAGTGTGAAAGATACTGACTGGGCCGTCTCCCCGGTTTCAAGGGGCAGCTGCGCTCCCCGTGGGGCCCCTGACCAGGAGGGTGTCACAGAGGTCAGGGGAGGATGGTGGTCGTGCAGCGTGAGAGACTCGACCTCCCTGCAGCCTACGAGTGCCTGCCTGATTGTTAAAGGCAAGAACACCGGCGATCGTCACTGGGGTTCGGGGGACAGCGGGGAAGCCAGGTGACAGCTTGGCCCCTCTCCCCACCAACCGGATTAGGGAGGTCACAGGAGTCCCACCGCTGCCCTGGCTCCAGGGCCATTCTCTGCTGTGCGCTTAGGCAGAAGCACAGATGCATCTTACGACAAACTTAACAGCAATGGCCAAAGAGGAATGCTGTTCTCCAAGGAGTCTGAGGAGCCTCAGCTCAGTCCCGAGGGTCCCTGTGGAGCCTGCCCCCCGCCACCCCTGCCCCCCCCGCCGCACAGCAGCACTGTCACGTTCAAGAGACTCGTAGACGTTGTTAATGCACCCCCTCTCCCCGAGGGCGATCAA